AGGTAAGGATGATAAAGTTTATGAAAACTGTGGAAGTTGTGACCTTAGGTAGATCGACTTTCACCGTGCTGTCTATGACAAATACTATGCTCAGAATTTGCAAAATTTTATTTATTCTGATCCCTCCTCTCAAAGTTTCTCAGGAATCCAGTTTTTAGACTTTCTTTATAGCTTGCTTTAGACAGGCTGTCCTTATCCACACATTTCCAGATCGCTCCAAAAATCAAGGCAAGAATGATGGAACGAGGGACAACGATGGTTGGCTATCAACCAGATAAACAACGTCCAAATTTCTTCCGTATGATCATATCGAATCAGGCAATCACCCGCGAAGATCTAGATTTTCTGATCCAGGAAATTGTAGACATCGGAGAATCATTGTAAAACACATGGATCTCGGAAATTGGCTGTGTTTAGTGGTTTAGTGATCTTCCGAATTCAAGTAGTTGCTGTATAGTTGCGTAATGCTGATTGTGATCATGCTGTTGTGAAAATGTATAACTCAAAGTATGCTAAACTAAACAGATATGGCTAACAAATTGAAACAAAGTTTACTTCTTTCCAGAATCATCTGAATAAAAGCAGAGATTGTTTGTTTGAAATTTACCATGTGCATACATTTATTTGCGTACAATATACAAAAAATCAATGTGGATATGAGGAAAATAACCGAAGCAGACCTCGCATAAGCAGAAGTCGTAGAAAAACTCCTCAGTAGCATGCGTGATTTTACGAGGTCGTTTTGAAAGTCTTTCCGTTTTTTAGGCCTGTCCTAGGAACATGTGCAATAAAGATACGCAGACATTTCAAAGACTACTTGATGCAGCTTTTCTTTCTCTTTACAACTCTTTACTCTTCACAGTCATGTTTTCAAACTATTTGCTTTTGTGGTCACCAGAATAATCGCCACAATTTTGAACCCATGCTTTTTGCCACACCCAACTTTGGCAAATTTAGAAAATTTTCGGTTTCAACTTCTGGAAGATCTGTGATAATACTTGGATAGAGTAAGCAAAGTGCA